CATACATACATACATACATACATACATACATACATACATACATACATACATACATACATACATACATACATACATACATACATACATACATACATACATACACTACATACACCATACATAACATACATACACACATACATACATCATACATACATACATACATACATACATACATACATACACATACATACATACATACATACATACATACATACATACATACATACATACATACTACATACATACATACATACATACATACATACATACATACATACATACATACATACATACATACATACATACATACATACATACATACATACATACATACATACATACATACATAACATACATACATACATACATACATACATACATACATACATACATACATACATACATACATACATACATACATACATACATACATACATACATACATACATACATACATACATACATACATACATACATACATACATACATACATACATACATACTACATACATACATACATACATACATACATACATACATACATACATACATACATACATACATACATTACTACATACATACATACATACATACATACATACATACATACATAATACATACATACATACATACATACATACATACATACATACATAACATACATACATACATACATACATACATACATACATACATACATACATACATACATACATACATACATACATACATACATACATACATACATACATACATACATACATACATACATACATACATACATACATACATACATACATACATACATACATACATACATACATACATACATACATACATACATACATCCATACATACATACATACATACATACCGTACATACAGACACCATACGTACATACATAACAACACATACATACATACATACATACATCACATAGACACACATCACTACATACACATTACATACATACTACATACATACATACATACATACATACATACATACATACATACATACATACATACATACATACATACATACATACATACATACATACATACATACATACATACATACATACATACATACATACATACATACATACATACATACATACATACATACATACATACATACATACATACATACATACATACATACATACATACATACATACATACATACATACATACATACATACATACTACATACATACATACATACATACATACATACGCATACATACTACATACATACATACATACATACATACATACATACATACATACATACATACATACATACATACATACATACATACATACATACATACATACATACTACATACATACATACATACATACATACATACATACATACATACATACAGACATACATACATACATACATACATACATTACCCCATACATCACATACATACATACATACATACATACATACATACATACATACATACATACATACATACATACATACATACATACATACATACATACATACATACATACATACATAGAGGCATCCGTACACACAGACACACATACACTCACAGAGACAAGTTTTCAGACACACAAAGACAAGCACACAAAATCACACCTAAACACGCAGTCATACATACACATTACCCAGGCACACACCCGCACACAGACAAGTTTCAAGGTGTACACTAGCTATGTTCAATGAAGACACCTTTTTTGGGATATCTAGTTGGTCGTGTTCTAATACATTTGTTTCCATAGCTTTCGATTTGATGTTGTCTAGTGTGTCCTTCTATCTTTCAATGAGTGCCAATCAGTACATTGTTTGTTTATCACATAGACTATATCCAAAGATTCCTTATCAGCAACATTACATCTGCTTTCAACTCATTTTAAAGCGGTTTTTCAGAACTGTCTGAGTAGAGCTATATCTAGCGACCATGCCTTCACGTTCAATTAGAGAAATGTCATTCACAGAAGTGAGAAATGCTTCCCCTTGATGAACTTACATCAGAAACGCGTTTGCTTGAATGACACTGTTTTTCCGATAAATAAAAATTCGCTGCTATTATATAATGGGATTGCGCACACGATTCTGTCAGTTTAGAATCTTTTCTGAAAGTATTTGGACGAAAGTAACGCCTTGGCTAATTATGTCAAATATTGCTCGTTTGAAAAAGGATACATTTTGTTTTCATTATTATGTCACAAACCAAATATGATTCAGACGTCTTTCTTTGCTTTTTACTCTACTTCTTTCATGTCTGCTTCTTCACTGTTACTGTTTGTATTAATCTTGATGTCGTTACCTACTCTTTCCTTCTCCTTTATGACATTTTATTCCTCTATATCATTAAAATCACCATCATTTTTCCTCTCTTCATTCTCCTGTTCCTTATCTCCTCCTCATTGTTCTTCTTTTCTTCTTCTTCTTCTTCTTCTTCTTCTTCTTCTTCTTCTTCTTCTTCTTCTTCTTCTTCTTCTTCTTCTTCTTCTTCTTCTTCTTCTTCTTCTTCTTCTTCTTCTTCTTCTTCTTCTTCTTCTTCTTCTTCTTCTTCTTCTTCTTCTTCTTCTTCTTCTTCTTCTTCTTCTTCTTCTTCTTCTTCTTCTTCTTCTTCTTCTTCTTCTTCTTCTTCTTCTTCTTCTTCTTCTTCTTCTTCTTCTTCTTCTTCTTCTTCTTCTTTTTCCATTATTTCTTCTTTTTCCATTATTTCTCTTTTTCTTTGTGTTCTCTCTCCCCCTCCCTGTCATTCTTATCCGTATCATACTCTTCTTAAATGTTTTGATTTATCTCGTCATGTTATTATGTTACTGATCAAAGTCTATCAGAAAGGAAAATCTTAGTAAGTCTCTCATGCATAAAATCTAAATCATGTGTGGGAGATAGATAGTTTTCTCTTCAGCAATTTAGCAAAAAGTTAGCTTTTCAATCGGCAAAATAAGTTCTGTGAGGTTAAATAATGTTCGAGGAAAATCTTTCTTTAGCCAGACGAAAAAGGACTTCGCCTACTCTATTCGGCTTTTGGTAGAATACTTGAATTTTGTAGATGACAGGAATTTTAAGACGAGGAGAATTTAATAAAGGAGTGATATTTTACAGGCTAGTGAACTTTTTAGGCTAGCTGGGGTATGACGAGTGATGTTAGCAAGCAGTCTAATCCCAGGATTGGAAGAAATCAGAATTAATACAAAAACAAGATTTCAAAGAAGCATTCATTTTCTACTTCATCGCGTTCACCGGAAGTAAATTCTGACAGGAAGTTCTATGGTCTGGTTTCAGAACTTGCGTTTTGCCTGCACATCTCTTTTACAGCTATGGCTCATTTGCATGCAGACTGTTCTTAGCCTCTTAGAAAGAAGAAATCCTATCTTGAAGTGAATCCGACTAACTGATAGACTTTTACAATATCAGATTTAAAAAGGAAGAAAAAATGACAAAGAATTACAAAGGAATTAATTGGGAAAAAAAAAAAAAAAAAGGACAACAAAGGGAAAAAAATTAAAAAGGAAACTAAAATGAAAATCAAAAACACAGAAAAAAAAAACAGAATTAAAGGGGAGGAAATTGAAGAATGAAAAAGGGAACGAAAAAAAAAGATATAGAATAGTGAAGAAAAATGGAAAATATAGAACAAGTGGACAAGTAAAAGAAAGAATGAAAAAGTAAAAAGAAACGAGACGAGAGAGAATGATAAAAAGGAAGAAAAAAGAAAAAATGAACAATGAGAACAAGAGGAATAAGGGAGTTAAAAGAAAATAACAAAGCAGGTACTATAAAGAAAAACTAATGGACCCATAAAGGGCAATGGACATAGGAATCATATCATAAACGTTTGTAATATGAGCTCTAAGTGATAGACTTCAAGTTAGATATCGAAATTATTTCCCATATAAAATAACTCAAACAACTTATAGATGTGTAAATAGGCCAACATGATGATGACGGTGATGATGATTATGAGGATGATAATGATGATGACGATGATGAAGATCACGATGATGATGATTTTGAAGACAAAGATGATGATAGTGACAGTGATGATGATGATGATAAAGACCACGATGATTTGTATTATGAAGACGACGATTATGATGTTGATAATACGGCGATGATGACGATGATGATGAAGACCACGATGATAAGGATTATGAAGACGACAATTATGATGATGATGATGATGATGGCGGCGACTGTCTCAAGCTCCACAACCTGTTCATCTCTAATAGCGGATAACAACAAAAGTACTCTTTTCCGTTTGCATTGAACTTTTCAGATCGTTTAGCAGGATAGATTGGCTGGTTGTGCGCCAACTGTTGGTGAACTGGTGCATAACAAGCTCAATGCTGTAAAGGTCCTTTGGGGCCAGTTAAACTGTGCAGAGGCACAAATAGATCATCACAGTGTTGTAATGGTTCAGTGAACAGTGGCCAGGGATTTAGTACACTCAACACTTTATAGAACAAATCTTTGGACCCATTAAAGATGAAAACAGCGCTGAATGGAGAGAAGCAACAACGAAGTTCATAATCTGTTTAAATCAACACTGATAACTAGCATCAACAGAGCGAATAGACTGAAATGGTTGGATCTTATTGAAAGAAAGAATGTCAGATGACAGCGAAGTAAAAACTATATACACGAGGGAGATGAATGGTCGTAGACCACGAGGCAGACCAAAAAGATGATGGAGAAAGGATACCCAGACAGACATGCAAACACTTGGTGTCACCAACTGGAAAGAGAAGGGCAACCAGAGAGATGAATGGAAGCGGGTGATATCTGCAGCAACAAACCTCAAGGGCTTGGAATGCTGAAGCAGAAGAACACTTAGCAGAGGTGCGAGACGGACCTAAATAATTCAGACTGCTACTGGTAGGATCGGAAGTGGAACTCTCTACTTGCTGTTGAAGATATGGGTGGAGTGCTTATGGGAATGTCCTGAATGTGATGATGTTGGTTTTAAACTCATAATCCGTAACTCACAACGTATTTTCAGATCGATGAGAACATCCATAAACCTGCTGTTTCTGAACTTGTGTTTAGCTGATCTGTTTGCCTTGGTCATCACTGGACCGACAGTGGTTGTGGACATGTTTGCCAAGGAAGCCTGGTACCTGGGCGCTTTCATGTGTGAGTACTAAATGCATGATGGTTTTTGTTGTTTTGTGTGTATGAATTCAAGTGTTTTCATGGTAAATAATGTGTGTGTGTATGGTCATATGTGTGGTCGTTTCCATACTTTTATTTGTAAATATCGAATGCATGGTCGCATTCGTTGTTTCATGTGTGATAGTGACGTTATGGTCGTGCCTATGCTTCATGTGTGAGTAGAAAATGTATGGCGATAGCTGTGGTTTTTCGTGTAAGTACTGCAAAAATAGTCGTGTGAGTTTGTTTTGCGTTGGTTTCGACAGTGGTACCGAGAGCTGACCGTCCAGTAGGCACTGACAAACTACTGGACGTAAATTGTGCCTAGAAAAACCACAACAGCCAAAAACCCTGGGGATGTTTCTGCAACGTCTTGTAAAGGATACGCAACCAACTATTTAATTTCCACACTTGCTTTAATTTCAGCTCATATTCGCTTGTTTATAATGTAAGTACTCTTTGCGTCTCATTTTTTTTACTGTCTATTGTAGAACTTATTTATAATTCCTGATCGAAGACAATTTATAATATAAACTTTGGTACTTAATTTATAACTTACCCTTGACGTCACGACAACGTCACGGAAGACATTCCCAATAAATTCTAGGGTGTTCAGGTTGAAGTTTCTCGCGATATATCTACAGCCAAGTTTAGGGTTATGGTTAGGGTTTGGGTTAGGGTTAGCATTAATAGACACTAGATAAACACTCAAAAAAAGCACCACACAACAGCACACTTCCACCCCTTGAAATAATGGACTGTCAGGTCAGCTGTGGATTTCCCACGGGGATTTCGTGTTTGGGGTACGTTATAAATTAAGAACCTAAACTTTTGTTCCAGGTCAATGTCGCGCTGTCTTTTCCGCCTCTGATTCTTCTTTAACTGGTTTTATCAGTTATGACAGCCACCTGTCTTCTATTGCTGTTTAGTACTCTTATGTTTTATCATCACTTCTAGCTTCTCGGTCATGTTTCTATCTAATGTGTCCTGTTTAACATGGATCCATGTAATTCGTCAGTTGTCTCTGTAGTTTGGGTCTTATCGCATCTCTAATTTCTCGTTAACGTTTCTGTCTGATGTGTCCTGTTAAACATGGATCTATGTAACTCGTATGTTGCCGCTGTAGTTCGAGTCTTTAGTGTCTCGTCAGTTAGGGTCCATCCATATGACTGGCCCATCTCCCTGCTAATGAGAGACTGGATTTCAGTTGCTAAAGGATATTCAGATGTTAGGTGATTTGTTGGAAAAACAAAATCGACACTTTCAACCAGCATCCCTGAAGGGGAAGCTTTAGGTTATAATTGTGACTAGGGTATGTGCATGATATAAAGTTGCTTATCATTGCACGTCACCAAGAGCCCTGAACAGGACCCCTGCAGTGTTGATGTGATCAAAGAAGACAGACCCAAATACTGTCCCGACAGGTGACGAAGTCGTCTACCGGCGAGTCATGATGCGATCCGGTCGCCGATGAACTGGGCTGCACAGTTTCCTAACCGCTATTTATACTGATTGTGGCAGTGTGGGACGCTGTGGTCCTGCTCAGTAACCGCTTCTAGTTGGTTCTACTATGCTTATCTCATAACGGAATTCTTAAATTCCGTCTCAGTTGCACCACATACATAGTTCTTCTTCCACTTAAAGTCCATGCCGTATGGCTTAGGTAGTCATGTCTACCCACAACCTTCTGTCTCATGTACTTTCAATCGACTATGACATATATGATACTCCATGCCATGATGTCAGATTGTCCAGCATTTCTTCGCTCGTCTTCCTCTGCCTCTCCTCCCCTATGACATTTTTACTGTCACGATGTACTCCAGTTTGTTTTTCCTTATTATCATATGACCAAAGAATGTAGATTGTCTCTTTGTGGTGTATAAACAATCAGTTCTTTTCTGAGTCAGTTTCTTTCAAGACGTTTTCATTACATTTTTTATCTGTCCAGGGTATTCTCATCATTCTTATATAAAACCACATCTCCGCAGCTTTCAAAAAAGTTTTCACTATATTACTAACTGTCATGATTCAGTACCGTATATCAATATCGGATTTATATAGTTTAAAAAAACTCTCTTTCTTATCTCAATTGACAAAGAAAGATTGCATACAATACTCTCTATTTTGTAAAACATAGTTCTATAACTTAAAATGTATTAATCAGGTAAATAGGTAACTAAGATCTTTGTAAACTTTTGAAATGCTATTACTACAAAGGCTTGATCTGATTGTGCACGTCATTAAAAGTACACTAAATATTTTTTGTATCCCGTGGGCAAGGTTTATAATAACTAGGTTATCCGATTGTGTAATATGCTGCGTCCTAACAAACATGTGCATTTTAAAAATATATATTTATAAAAGCTCAGATGTTTCAGTAAAGGGCATATTATTTTAACAACGAAATAAAGTTCCAGAAATGTGGATATACAGAAAAATCTGGGTCATTTTTACGTAAACTTATATTATTGAAAAGGCTCAAAATAAATCGGTTTACAGAAAACATAGCTTTGTCAGACTGTTGCAAACATCCGACCTCACGCTATATGACATAAGACATCATCATCATCCAGAAGCATGCAACGTAACGAAAGCTGCGCGCTTAATAATGGTTTTTCATATGTTATCCTGATGCATACATGATTTATGATATCTTGAATTTGTCTGCGTTGTCTTCTAAATATTTGCATTTTGAGTTAACCTTTGGTTTTTTATAGTAGTTTTACGGCAAGTAGTAAAGTAAAAGTAAAGATCACTTTTCACGCCTTTAGGCGCATCAGGCATATGGGAAGAGCACCCATATATTTACAGACCATCGACACTAGGGGGGTAATGTGGTCTTTACTTCCAGGCTGGGTCGACCTGTGATGAAAATCCACGTAGCCAGACGCGAGTTTCGATTGCGGTACGTTGGAATTACGAGTCAGAATCTCAACGCCTAAGCCACAGACGCCGCTATTTTACGCTCAGTAGTTTGTAGATACTGACACCCGAAAATATATGAACACCAAGGAAGATTGGTTAGTAAACAACAACGTTTCTTGGAAACTGAAATATCATAGCCATATCAAGCGCCACAACGAACTGTGTTTGGAAAGGGTAGGGGGAGGGGAGAGAATACTACGAGGCTTAGTACCAGAAAAGAGGGACAGGATCCGATGAGCATGAAGATGCGCTCAGGATATAAGTGACATCTTGGGTAAGAATGTGCACGAAGAGGAAGACTTGGCAAGAGATCAAGTTTCCATCATGTAGACCGTGATGAATGCGCCAATCTGACAAAGACCTGCCTCTTGTGACAACAAAGTCAACAGCAGCGTAAATGTCTAAATTCCCGGTTGTTCCTTTATTTTCTCTCTGTAGACCCTGAACCTCTATTGTACCATAATTTCCCCTTCTTCACTAGCAGAGGTTGCCCAAGTCCTTTATGTCCGGTGGGATTTATACAACTGATGTGTCACGGACGTCCTGCTCTCTAGCGTAGTTGGGTAAACCGGATTGCGCGGTGACCGGGTGACGAACTCCTTGCGGTCCGGGTTCACTCCCGGGGGTAGCCAGAAAAGCCACATTTCTCCCAGATTTAAGGTATTTACAATGGAATCAAGGCCGAACGGTTGCGATTTCCATAATACCGAGCCTTAGGGTTAACAACTCATGGCTTCTGGATACAGAAAGAAAGATTGCATACAATACTCTCTATTTTGTAAAACATAGTTCTATAACTTAAAATTTATCAATCAGGTAAATAGGTAACTAAAATCTTTGTAAACTTTTGAAATGCTATTACTACAAAGGCTTGATCTGATTGTGCACGTCATTAAAAGTACACTAAATATTTTTTGTATCCCGTGGGCAAGGTTTATAATAACAAACAATGTATCACGAGAACTCATATCTGTCTTTAGGGCACCTGCTTTCCTATTTCTGGCGTTATTTTCTCTTCATTTCCTAGTCTTCTTCTCTTCCCACTGTTTCCGTTGTCAGCTGAAGATGGTTTAAAGCACAAAGCACGCACTACGTAGCTCTGGCGATGAATTTTTTTTTTTTTTTTTTTTTTTTTTTTTTTTTTACATGTACAAAGTCTATAGAAAAATTGTTTCAGTGAGGGAAGTAAATCATCCCCCCTAGTATTGACTGCTTGATAGAGAAGAGGCAAGGTATGTACTAAAGAATTCCATTCGCCTGGCGCCGCCCCTCTCCCTAACCAGATGTTCCAGGTTTTTGACTACCTATCTGCCCGGAAGTCCATTTTAGGCTTTACCTCCTTGTTAATCAATGTTGTCTTTGTAGAACCGTTGCGTTTTATGCCTCTTGGGTCACACATAACAGTTTTGACTGTAGAACATTGTTCCGGTACAATCAACCTTTGTCACCCCATCATGTTCAGCTGCGGGATTTCGCAGCAGTTACCACGGTTCCCTAAGTTCTAGCGTTGTCGTGTGTTACTTGTTTTTAGCAAATCCATCGCCAACGACAGCCATAGTCAGCAAGCTTTAAAATGCGAAAACATCCATAATTTGATACTCACGAATCGTCGCTTACGTTGCGGTATTTCTTTCTTGCACATAGTCAGCTGCGGCACCTTATACCTAACCACAATACGATACATTCCAGAAACAACGCTTCTTCACAGAATAAAAAAGAATGTTGCGAAAGGAAAGCTGCATAGTTTCGTCTGGGAGAGCGTGATATGAGTTGAGAGTTTGAGTTAGATTGTCTTCACAGTTCTTCGGACACTCAGATTCCCCTTGAATATATTCATCAGCGTCGCGCGGTTAAAAGCGCCAGTCCTATGCTGGCTGACAAGACGTCGTGTGCGTCCGGTGAGCTTTTCATGCTTGGCTGTGCCGATCTTTATTCCCAATTCTCGTATTCTTAGCAGTGATGTAGACACATTGCTTCCAAAATCCTCAGAACGTCCAATCTCTCTAAGGGCAATGACAATATCTGCGTGATCCATGGGCCGGTCATCTTCAATTAATGCAG